TGGCCTTGGGTAAGACCCTTGCCTTCTAGGGACCTCAGTTTTCCTATTGAAGTTAGGCTAGATCAGAGGTGATCAATAGCTTTTATTTAGAGTGTCAGCTTTCAGGCAGGTGTGGTGGCTCACGCCTGTAATCCCAACACTTTGGGAGGCTCAGGTGGGCAGATCACTTGAGCCCAGGAGTTCCAGACCAGCTTGCGCAACACAGTGAGATTTCATCTCTGTAGGAAAAAAAAAAACAGTGTAAGTGTCAGCTCCACTGGTAGTTCTGTAAGTTCCATATTTGGAAGGATTGGGAGGCTTTGTCTGGGCTCAGCAGAAAGGAGCTGGAATTGATTAGCAATGTCTACTATAGATGCAATAGAGAACTAACATGTGTATCACCCCAGGACTGAGGGGCCACTGCTCTTATATTCTCTGAGATGTTTCATAGGACAAGATCATTCCTTGGTGAACCCTGCCTATGGCCTGGGTAAGAGGAAGAAGGGTGTGGCCTTCATGTTTTTCCCCACTTTTCCTTAGTTGAAGTCTTTTTCGACCTATTCTCCTGGCCCAAGGTCTCATGGAAGGAGGTCATTCCACTCAAGATAGCACAAAGAGGGGAAGAGGAGTGGTGGAAGGCACTGGAGTCAGGAATCTCTGAATGGCAAGAGTGATCAGAGAAGTTTGAAGGATAGGAGGATGCTGGGCTGTGGCTGGTCCTTGAGACTTTGGGGAGTGGAGAAGGTCCGGGCCTGGCAGTTGCACCAGTCTGGAGCAGCCAGGGTTCCTGGGACCCTCTCTGGGCCTAGGTTCCCCGGGAGCCCAATCACTGGCCACATTGTTCAGCGTTTCCCTACTCACATCCCATTATTGAGGCCGCCTCCAAGCGGCCATGGAAGGATGGGCTTTGGATGTGAACTTGACAAAGCAGCTGGATATTTTTCCAGCTCAGTGGGTAGTGAATCCCCTGAGAATGTCCTGGGAGAACAAGCATTACCAGCAAACTCCTGGTGTCAGCTAGAGGGCCTTACTTCCCTGGCCTAAGCTGGGAGCTCAGCTGAGCCTCAGCAACCCCAATCTGCCTCCTAGAAC